CACCTGTTCACATATACCCCTTCTGAAATCCTCTACCCGGCCGAAGTCATCATTGACCTTCTCCACAAGCAATCTCAGTCCGAAACACCCATCTCCTCCCCATTCCATCTCCACTTCCTCTCCCTGGCCGTAGTCACTCTCCTTGAAATCACGGACCTGCCAGACCTCGCAAACGACGCGTGGGAATCGATCGAGAAAGCACTTCAGGTCATCTCCTATCGCGAAAAGCACGCAGCTACGGCAGGAGAATTCGAGAATGTCTTCGCTACTTCCAGCTGGGACGGATGCATCCACGCCTTCATCCAGGCGAAACTTGCCAAAGTCCGACAGGTCCCACAGGGCATGGCGGGCGCCTTGGGCGGTGTCGCTGGATCTGCCCAGCCGCTCCTTGGCCCGAGGGAGCAGCGCTCCCTGCAACACCTGGCCGATCTGGCCGTTGGTGCGGGTGGTGGTGTGAACGCTTCCTCGCCCCCTCCAACTTCTGCGGTGAATATGGCTGGCGATGACAAGGACCTTGGCGCCGGGGCAGGGTCGGGGACCGGTGTTGCTGGTGGCGTCGCTGCTGCTGGTGAGCTTGGTGATGGCCTGCCTCATTCTGGCGCGGAGCAAAAACAGATGTCCCCTGTCTTCGTTGACTTTACGAGGTTAACTAAACGGGGTTACCTTAATGTCCTTGCTGGCAGTTGAGTGAAAGTTGTAGTTGTGTTTTCTATAACATATTAGAAGAACTGGTGTCACGATATATTCTTTGCATCATGTTACGGCCTGATGAAAGAAAGGAAATTGCATACTACAAACAGAATGCAGTGGTGAATTTTTTTTCCTTTGCTTTGTATGTTTTGATAGCTGTTCTACCCTTCTATGCTTTTGTCTAGTGATATTTTATATGGGTTGTCCACCCCACTTGCTACAGGAAAAGATGCTCAGGCTTTGCTGAGTATGGAAATTGACGGGCGTGAATATGAACATGTTTAAGATGGAAAGAAACTCAGGGCAAGGCATACTGGTGTTTTCTAGCAGGAGGGTCAGACCTTTCTTTTTCTTGTTTTCTTTTGTTGTCCGGTGGTTTTGTATTGAGCTTCTTTTTATATACGTTGCTCGTCTTTCGTCTCCCTGCCCTCCACTCTCCCCATCTCTTTTCCTACCCCCCTTGTCTACTCATTCCAGTCTACACCATGTTTTATGCAAAAATTGCCTTTTCTTTCCTCCATCCCTTATTCCCCTTTCCAATACCTTCTGAGGGCCTTAGTTTTATTTTCAATTTGCCAGTAATAATACCTTGAGACACCCCTTCATCGCATCTCTATTTCCCCCCCCTTTTTTTCGTTTTTCGTCTTAATATTCTCATACACAACATATCTCGAATTCGGCTTTACTCTGAACCTTCCCTAGTTTCTTTTCCCCGTAATATATCAAGAACACACCAAAATAGCTGAGGAATGGGATGGGATTCCTCTGTACTGTATCAGGGAGGGAACAAATAGTGTTTGTTGTGTGCGTATAACTTGTTATGGGGGTTGCCCCTCTTGAATTGTTTCAATCCCATTGATTTTATTTGATTTCCTTCGATATTTAAAACGGAAACACTTTAATTGAATTGGAATTGCATTTTCTACTTTTTATATTTCCATCTCATCTGCATCTGTCGTTCGCTGCCTCATTTCCTGTAAATCCGTGAAGGATATGTGTAATATGAGTAGTTATCGTGATTAGTGTTGTTTTCAATGCAGACGGCATTATTCTCTCTTAAGCTATTCTAGGTCTATCTCTAATAATACAGCGTTCAATGTCCTAGGACTTGTAGAGGGAGGAGGGTTATTTCACTGGGACCAAATGAAAAATGCTGGCTGATAGGGATAAACACGATAAAAATGGTTCTTGAACTGCGACACCAGAAGGGTGCCGTGGACCCACAAAACAAATAACAAAAGAAATGGTTGAGAAGGTGCGGGGTATATATATAATACGGGTTATTGATATGAACAAAATCCCCAGTGATGGTGGTTAAAAGCATCAAGAAATGTCGTCGAAAAAAGTATGAAAGAAAGAAAATCCATCGACTTCAATAGCCAAAGGCTATCCTCCTCCACACACCCTCAACGTCCTGGCAGAGGGCCAGGAACGTATCGTTCTCAAGCTGTCGACAAATCCACGATTCTACCAGCGCTGATCGTTCCGGAGTTGGCGTTGAGAGATACAACGACAAGTCTGATGGGGATATATCATCCCGATTTACGGATCCTGTAAGGTTATTGCGCCCTTGTTCGCTTCTCTCCGTTAGCATGTGTGGGGGGATTGCGTTTGTCGCTATGGGTTCTGCGTTCGCGGTGTTATTGTTTCCGTCGATTGTGTCTGGCGACGTGGAGCTGGTAAATATGGACCCAGAGTCAACTTTGGATAGAGCAGTTACTGTATGTGCAAGATTAGGCCCATTCACGGCTAAATTATCTGTAGTGGTGAACTGGCCAGTGCAGTTTAGAACTGCTGTAGGTTGGCCTTTTTCCTTCAAAGCTCGTGGTAGTCCATAATTGGTAGAGAAAGCGTTGGCACTTCCACTAGCAATCGTCTGAGCCCATCCTGGAGTCGCGGTGTTTGACGGGCTATCAGTGATTCCACCAGAACTTGAGGCCTCGGACTGAGCTATCAAGAAGGATGATGAACCGCCAGGCTGCAGCGTCGCTTTCGCTCTTTGGTTGCTTTTTGGTTTCCGTGTGAGAGACGCCTGCGTTGCTCTGGGATTAGCAAACGGGAGTTCTCTCTTTGGCGGCAGAATCTGACTCAAAGTGTCCACGTCTGGTATGGGTGGGGCAGTAGACGGCCTCTCTTTGAATAGCCAGCCACTGGTTTGTTTCGATTCCACGGGGTTCGCAGTGACAGAGTGCGTCTCCCGCTGGGCTGCGAAGGAAAAATTAGCTAATGGGCTTTGTACGTTCGTGGCACGGGAACTAGTCGTTGCAATGGCAAAAGTAGAAACCCCGGGGGCAGTGGTCAATGCTGGAGTGTGAGGTCTCCCATGGTTCTGGTCATGGGAGTTTGCGTTTGTTGCTGAAACGCTGTTGAATGAACTTATGAATAGCCCCGATGAATTTGGTTTTGCGTCTGTCAAAGAAGATGACCAGGGCCGTATATGGTATTTGTCAAAAACAGCTCCGGTTGAGCATCCTGAGGACTCTGTGAATGTGCCACCACCTGTCTGCGCGTAAGAGGAAGCTTGGGATGAGGAGGAGAATGGTCGGTTTGAAGATGGGTGATGAGATGGGGCTACTGTGGAATGTGTGATAGGACAACCAAGTTTGTTGAATATAGATATGGCATTAGCATAGTCAGAATCAGACGAGAACTTGATCTGGAAACGACGGATCTATATCATAATTTAGCATTTGCATAGAGAAGAAAAGGGGTATTGACATATAAAGAATGTATGTCCCTAACCTGATCGTTTCTCATAGGATAGCGCACGGCCAGACACGGGGATTTTACAATGATGGCAGCGTGAGGTTTTGGATTGTGAGACAAAGAAAGGGATGGGCCTATGGCTGCCTCGCGGGCCAAAGAATTTAAATTGAGCTGTTCCTAATTTATCAAACATGGATAATAAGTACGACTGGAGACTGGATGTCAGAGCTTCGAAGGGGGAAACGACAGCCTCTCCCACAGAGCCACCTACCAAGACATCGCTTCCTCGCAGCACCCTGAGGCGCTGATCTCCCTGGGAAAACGCAGAGGAGGTCTCATGGACGGAGATCTGGTCAAGCACAACAGCCAGATCACTGTTGGTAGAAAGATGTGTCCATCCCAAAGGGGAAGCACGGTCTGCTGAGGTGGTGGAATACGAGAATTTCAGGATGGGGATATTGAGAGTGCTTGATTGAGCTTGCATAACGCTGAAAGGATGAGAAGTCATTTCCAGCGAGCTGATGGTGTAGAACAACTATAACTAGCTATGACCACTGCTACGACAGTTGTGACAGTTATGATATATAGACAGACTATAGCTTGCAAAAGAGCTGGTCAAATAGGGACGGGGATCAGACACAAGCAGAGCAAAGCACGATACAGCCAGATGGTGCTGTTCTTCTCTGACATGGGGGGAACAAATGCGTCCATCAAACCGAAAGTCAGAGATGGCTAGATAGACAGAAAGCTATTGCAACGCTGGGGCTATATACTTGCGGTTCAAGCGGTCTATATATATACATATATATAGAAGAATAAGACGAACAAGAAGAGGTGAGGATTAAATAAGCTCATCCAGGTTGGGCCGTGGAAGAGCCTCAATTCCCCTAAGGGGATGTCCTCATATAATAGGGAGGTACCTACCCTTGTATATGTATATATCTATACCTACTTGCAATTGAAGACGGAACCTGGAGGAGATCACTATTGGATATTTGGGATAAACATAAAGTAAACTAGTTTAATTAAAGATTCACAGCTTGGCGGATATCTGTCCTATCCGTTCTATCCGCCCAATCCATGTAGGTTTGTAGGACATCTATTTCATCCCATCCCATCCATTGATCTTCCGGTCATGTGATCAATGTGATTTAATTATGGGACGTCTGAAGTGGTCGGGGATGCTATTACTGTGCGGTGCGCTAGTCCATAATAGGAAGCCTAGCCATTATAATCACAAGCTCATCCCGGACTTGGAACTTCTTTATTCCGATAATGTGAAGAACAACCGCTGCATATCAATGCTTGGTATTCAACCCCCTGCACATGCTGGTTCCTAGGTGTGTCCAGCAAGAGGTAAATTCTGAACAAAGAGATAATTACTTTATTCTTCAAGGGGCTTCTGTTGGGTTGTTCGAGTCCACGGGTGCTGACTGGGGGCCAATGTGTTTAAGAAACCGAACTGTTTCTCGTGTTTCGTGTCTTCACTTTTTCCGATCCCCGATCCACAAATCCCACCCTTAACTACTGTTTGCCAAGTCCGCCCATCAACAATATCATCCACGTGATCCTCCAAGCCAAGCCCAGTGCACGTTGCTGCCAAGATGGCGGCCACAGATTTCCCGTTCACGTTACTTGCGATGCGGCAGGAAGAGGCAGTATTCCACCGCGCCTTGAAGCATGCCTACGCTGCCCGGAAGTAAGTAGAGGTAAAGATATACATCTATCTTCACCATCCCCTCTCTTGTCTCTTTGTCTTTTGTTTGCTGCTGTGAGTAGCTAAATACACCGTAACTACTCCGTACTGCGAACAGCATCGTGCCTCCTCGTCGCAATCGCCAGTTCTATATCAACCGCAAGCGGGTTCAACCGTATTGGCTGTTCTTCAACGTTTTCGATCGTGGAGGCTTCAACTACATCTCGCTCGACAAGATCAACTGGTATACTGTCTCAAAGTTCTCCAGAATCACTGATACGCAGGCTACGACCTTCTCCTGGAACGTTAGAGAAACATACCGCACTTGGCTTTTGTGAGTTTTTGAATTTTTTACCCCTTTCATATCTCTATTCTCCTTAATATGTAATAAGAGTCTCAATTGAATGAACTCCATTGCATTACATTTCATTGTTTTCTTATCTTTTGTACAATATAATATCTAGGCCGTTGGAGCACGCGGTGTTGGCTGCGGGCTTTACATACCCACTGCCCGGGACAGCAGCCAAGGACAAGGACGAGGACAAGCGCAGTTGCTTGCTCCGCTTCAAACATTTGCCCACGGTAAGTCTCTCACTCCGCTTTTCTTCATATCTCCCTCTATCGCCTGTTTAAAGCCCAACAGCTTGAATTAACACTGCGTTTGTGGTGCTGTTGTTGTAGGACTACAACCCGTGCCCTCGCACAGCCAATCCTATACTTACGGACTCCCTGAAAACTACATCAACTCATCCAGCTCCCCTTTCTTCTCTTCTTCTTCTTCCTCACCCTCCAAATTCTCCTCAACATATTCCCCTATACCCTCTTACGGTAGTTCTAATAGCTCCAATCCCACTACCGCTACCGCTTCCACCAATATGTCTGCAGCCGCTACTCCCGCAATGATGGACACCATGACCCCCATGCAGACAATAATGGTCGACACCCCCGCGAACCAGCGCGGAATTTATGCGCCATCTGCTCAACAACCACCTCCTCTACCCGTAGAACCCCTTCTGAGATCGATGATCCCTGATACAGGTATGTGACTTGGTATTCTTTTTGTTTTATCTTTGTTGTTTTATCTCTTTCCCAACATCCCAATTCCCACACTCATCTGCCACAAACCCCACTTTCTCTAAGAAGAACCTAACGAGCCTCTTCTTCCAACTACAGTTCCTAAAATCTACAGCCAGTGCCTTCGATCCCTAGAGGTTGGCTCCGACGGTGATAGGGACTTCGCGCTTCATCACCTTGTGGTTATCTCAGACGAACGTGGAGACAAATTCAAATTTGAGGACTTTGGTGGTCTTGCAGAATATCTGACTGATCTAGTCATGAAGATCACTCGCCTCATCTCCGGTGTGGCCTGGTTCGTTGATTATGACGGACGCAGAGAAATACCATATGGGTGTCTGGCCGTATCTGGCACTGAACAAGATCCTCATATTGCTGAGAGAGTTGCCAGCCTTCCGGTCATTTTACATGGTGACGATCATGTGGAAGACGCTGAATCTGCCCGTACACTCAGATGGATCACGGAAGCCGCCCTGGTTCTACGGAATATGTCTATGTTAGAGGCAAACGCCCGTTATCTTTCAGAAATGCCTATTTTCAAAAATTGCCTGCTCATTGTGCTGAGCTCCCCTCGTCAGCCGCGTTTCAACGAAGCCCTAAACCATATGTTGGACACATTGGAGCAAGTCTGTCCATACTGGGAAACTGATGAGAATGACCCGCTCTTGCCTCTGCTACTTCCCTTCGTGGATTCGAATGATAGATACCACGTCGTGACTGCTCTGAAGATCATAGTACTGTATTCGATGGAGCTGACTACATTCAAACGTCTTGGAGGCCTCCCAGGGGACAAGCTCCTGGTGCTTTTCAACTACTCCTATCTTGAGCAGGACAAGGAGCTGCTTTCAATGACTCTTGACTTCTTCTACCAATACACAGCGACTCCGGAAAATATCAATGAATTCATCTATTCCGAGTGGCTTCACCACATGGTTCCTCGCATGGTCAGTCTTCTCCTAATTGACTCTAATGATCATGTGAATGAGATAGTGGATCAGGAAGAGCACAAGGCACCCCCAACTGCCAGCATTCCACCTGTGCCACAGGAACTGAAGGCGTTACTCCTGCACATCCCTGAACCAGAACGTTGCGCTCGTTGGCTTAGTTGCCTCTTCATTGAGGATGCGGAGTGTGAAATCACTCAACTTGCCCTCTGGAAAGCTTATCAGGACTGCTTCGCGGCAGACCGTTCCTCAGGAGGCATACCCACCCTGGCGGCAGCTGACTTTATCAATGCCGTGAGTGCCACCTTCTCTTCAGCCCAGGCACAGGTTGTCCCCGGTCCAAGTGCTAGATTCATCATCAAAGGCATCCGGCCCCTCGAGGCCGCTTACCACCCCAATGGGTATCCATATTTCGCTTGTCGATGGTCTGATCCCAGTCCTATATGCAAAATTGGTTTTACTGATCCTGCACAACTTCATGAGCATGTTATCCGTGACCACCTACATCTTGGCCCGGAAGACGCAGAAGACCAGCCGAGAAATTGCGGCTGGGAGTCTTGCAAAACGCATCGTAAACCCTCCACCATCAATGTCAATGAACTTGTCAACCACGTTTATACCCACCTTCCAGCTCTGAAGGACATGGCTCTACCCCCCGCACCGCCTCCTGGGCGCGAGATCATCCAGCCTAGAATTTCCCGGACATTCGACTACTATCCAACTCCCGTTGATGAGAATGGAGAGCCCATCGGAATTGCGTACAAAGCAGTTCTTATTCTGCGCAATATAATTCGCAATCTGCCCCATGGAAATGCGGGCCCGTCCTATGGTTTCAAATCGTGGAACTATGTTTTTTTCTTCGCTTATAGGAACAAGCTCATCGAAATTGCCGATTACAATCCGACTCTCCGCAGTGATATTTTCGACCTTGTCGGTGAGATTGAATCTTCCTGAGTTTCATGTCGGAATCGAATACGTTGGTTACATTCAGAAATTTTGAGTTTTACATTGTTTTACATATTCATGGATTTCCTCACTTTCCGGTGTCTATTTTGTTTTGCCTGAGCCAAGGCGTAATTTACACATGTGCTGGAATTTTCCGTTCAGAATCAAATCTTCAAAAACCAGCGGGCTTTGAGCAAATCAACAACTCCGGTGCTGTTTTCCCTATTATCGATTCTTCTCTCACCTTCATCTTTTCCTCCTGTGTGGCGTTTGGTTTTTTCATTAACCTAAGTGTTTTGCGTGTGTACTGGAATTTTTAATTCGTGTTTACAAGCGGTTCGGTTGTCAGTTTGCCTGTTATGGATTCCCCAAACCCTCTTTTTCTTATCTTGTCTCAGCGGTTACATGCATATCAGCGACCTCGGTTAGGTTTTTCCCTTCATGGATTTCACTCCCTTTTCTTATCTTTCTTTCTTTAATTTCTCTCTCTCTCTCTCTCTCTCACTCTCTCTGTCCAGTGTCTGTTTTGCAGTCCTTCAGCCAAGTGTTTTACGTGAGTGCTCCAATGCGGGTTTTCAGTCTTTTTAATCACCCTTTTTTACTGCAAGTTGAATTTGGGTTTACGATGGTGTGATACACAACTGGAGGGTTTGTTGTCTGTTTTTCTATGTCTAGTTTCGATTTACTTTTCCTTTTCGTTTTTGCGTTTTCCTCCTTTTCTTCGGGTGATTCCCAATACCTTGATTTCTCAGCTGCGAGTGAACGAATTCGACGGTTAAGAGTTCGACAATCTGTGGGAAGTGCAGGGTTTTCACTTTTTATTTACTATTTCTGTATTTCTATGCTTTTTTTGACTTATTTTTCTTGTTCTTTTTCACCTCTTCGAGATATTCGAGATATACCTGATGTCTTGTATTCCCAAAGTTTCCCCCTTTATTTCCCCAACCTGTATTTCTATTTGTGATTCGATTTGTTTTCTTCTTCCTTTCCATCTTTTCTTTTTTACTCCAAGGTTCGACTGATTATACATACGGTAACCCGTGGTGTATCCCGTGGTGTATCTAGTTTTCTTCTCTTTATTTTTCCTTTTCTGCATGAATATTTGGGAAATGGCGCTTTTGTTGCTCCCTATATATCCTTTACGGCGCATCCAAAAGACGGACGGACTGGGTTGTTCTTTTGAAGCTCCTATGTTGGCTTTTCCCCTTTGTTGGGATATAGAGTTGTTCCATGTAGCATTTGTTCAGTCCCCTGCGTTGCTTCTCCTGTCGTCTTCTCTTGTGTATTTGCCCTTGTAAAGAGGGAATTGTTCCTTGTATTATTAGTTTGATCCCTTGCGATGTTCCCATTTCTTCTTCCCTGTAAGAAAGTCCAGATGACCCTTGATTATCTACACCCTTGTATCTTAGATAGTTTAGTTGCTCTGTGTTTGTTTGTTTTGTTGTTGAAATGCAATAGTTTTTGCCTTCTTTTTCTTTCTCTTTCTTCTAAATCCGTCCTAGACCCGTAAAGTCCCTTAGAAATATACCAACCAGTAGTAGTTCAGCGAAATAAGTAGGCAGGTTAAATTTATACTCCATAAAATCTCCTCAAGGATCAGAAACACATGGCTCATTGCCCGAATTGCTAGTCATTCACAACAAACCGCGTATCATTATCAAGATCCCACCCCAAGCAAGAAACAAGGAGTTAACCTACTCATTAAAATAAATTCCACTGTTTCCCATTGACACACACGCACACACAACACTGTCTCTCCCCTCAATCACATGGGAATCACAAAATATCAACGATAAGCATCAGGCAATGTCGTGTAGCAGCTGTGCTAGCATACGCAAATGTCCGCACTTACTACTGCTGACTGCCCCATACCCAGAACTTAAAGCGTAAAGAGGGATAAACGAGACACTGTTGAGTTAATAGAGACGAGACCGCAACTCAAGAACATCGATTCCCGGGGAAGATGAAGCTGATAACCACGGGTTTTTGCTACGAGGAGTCTCTGCAACTGAGACTCTTCTGGAAATGAAGCCGACGTCGAAAGGTTAACCAGCCGGAAGCACGTGACTGGCGCGGATACACGATAAAAGAGCTCCCAGGAGCAAGGGCGCGGTTACTGTTCATAAGTTATCCAGCGAGCAGTCAGGTTCCCTCTAGTTCCCTCTAATTCCCTCTAATAACCAGAGAGTAACTGTCTCTTCTTGTTCCTGGTGGAGTCATTATCATCAGCGTCATCGACAGTTGGGTGGCGGAGAGTTAGTTATCAGCCATTCAAATCCCTTGCGTCGCTCGTATGAAATGTTAACCCGCATTTTTTGGCCCCCTTCTTAAGTGTTTCTGCAGGAAAATAAAAGGCAGAAAAGGAAGGGGGGGGAAAAAATCCATCTATTCATACCGCAGGTTACCATCTACATATATGCCTCCTCTTTTCCCCGGTACATATTTATCTGTGTTGCCAGGGGCCTTCCAGCACGCGTTGTTTTTAACAGCTTTCCTGGTAGTCATCATCAACTCTCGCCTCAATCCATATGCTACCCCGTGTCGCAAAGCGATGCCACTGCTTTAGAGTCCAGCAACTAGACTGAAGCGCTCCAATTTCCCAGATGGGTGATTCAGTTGAAACCCTCATGGAGGTAGGTGGTATTAATTTAACCTTTATTACTCTAAATTTTACTTACTCTACTTACTACTCCGTACCCTTATCAATCTTTAGCTGATTACTGGTGAGTTGACACCGTCGCGATAGGGTTTGGAAAATGAATATTGTCCACCCATAGACCCTGCCCTTTTCGCTGCTCTCGCAAGCGATCATGACCTTCTCGACGACATTGGAGTCCAGCAACTGCGCGACACGCTTGATGCGCTGAAAGTTTCCGCTGCTGAACAGCAAGATGCCCTATTTGACCCGTCAGGAACAAGTGGTCAGGACCCGGAAGGCGGCGATCAGGATGAATTCTCATCGGAACAAGACGGATCAAATCCAACGCTGGCCTCTTTAACGTCCAACCCCACAAGCATCGGGTCAGAATGCTCCGCAGCGAGCTTAAACGAAGAGGATAACCAGAAAAAAGTGCGCTGGGCCGAAGGATGGAGTGCGCGTGATGCTGAGGCCTCCCCAGGCCGTATTTCGAGAACGATTACAGGACTGACGCTGGAGGGCAAAACGACTTACTTGACTGAGATGTTTCCGTCGATTGATAATTACACCATAGTTCACACTCTGAGGAAATGCGACGGAGATATCGATCGTTCGATGGATGTACTGAGCCTGGCATTCTTTGATGATCACAACGCAGGTGACAAAGAAAACAAAGTGTCAATACCAAAAGGAATCGAGGGGTTTGCTGGGGACAGTGTTACAAAAGGACGCAGGAAGGCGAATAATAAGCGGAACATAAAACAGGGATTTCTGCGACATTCGCAAGCATCAATCCCAGCGCAGCATGAAATCAATAGGACTGAGAACAAATGGGACAATGGGGGAAAAGATGTAGAATTTATCTGCTCACGGACCTATTTGTCACGCAAGTCTGTCACTTCAGCGTACCACGCAAATGGAGCCTCCCTCCCAAACACATTACATGCTCTTGCATCCGCTGAGGCAGAAAAACACGCAAGGACCATGATGGACGACTCAAACATTATCCCACAGTTAGTGGAGCTCCAACAGAGGTTTGACAAAGTCTGCCCCGAGAAACTCGCCGGATTACTTCACCTGGCCAGGAACTGTACTTCTTCCGCGAGTGAGCTTGCAACCTTTATGATGACTGTCAAACCGCCCCTGCCACCCACGCAGATAGTTCAAATAAAACATGCGCCTGTAGATTTGGGTGATCCTCCAACCGATCACAAAACGCCGCCATGGACGCAACAGCCAACACAGGACCACCTGACAAGCAGAGCGATGGCCAACTCTCATATCCTCGCGGGCCACGCTGCCTTCAACAAGGCCACTGCAGCCTATCGTCGTGGCAAATCCGATCACCTTATGGGCGGTGCAGCAGGGTACTACTCCGCGATCGGCCGAGAGCACATGGAACAAGCAAAGAAAGAGGCTGCTGCCGCAGCAGAAGCACTCGTAGAATCGCAGTCGAGTAGCCGGGTACTTGATCTGCATGGTGTCAGCACCCAACATGCCGTCGGCATCGCGAAGAAGAAAGTCGGGATCTGGTGGGATTCCCTCGGCGACACCAAGTACGCGCCGGGGGGTTGGGGGCCGGCGCAAGAGGGCTATCGCATTGTCACCGGGCTAGGCCGGCATTCTAAGAATGGGACTGCTAGGGTTGGTCCTGCTGTTGCGAGGGCTCTGGCTGGCGAAGGATGGAAGGTTGAGGTTGGGGAAGGGTTCTTGACAGTGACGGGGGTGGCGAGGCGATGATGAGCATGGTTGGGCTGTTTTTACTATTGGACTTCCTGTGGAGACTTTTGACAATTTATTACCAGGCGTGGGGAGCCGAAATAATCCAAAAAAATGACTATAAGGAAGCTTGTATTATATATATAAGTAGCGTAATTCCCAACAGAGCGAACCCATCAAATTTTTTACCTTCTAATTCAAAACCTCTTACTTCTCAACGCGGAATTATGCCACCAATTCAGAATAAGAAAGCGTCAGATTCTCTTGACAGAGAGGGATGAATAGTGTGTCCAATCCTTGCTTTTGAAAATCAAAAAATAGACTCAATTCATGAAGCAGCACACTTCTTTTAAGTTCCATATGTGTAACGAGAAGGCGCCGAGACGGGGCGTCAACAGCAACGTCACGCAGAATGGTTATAAGGGAAGTTAGTTAAGGAATCAGACCAGCGTATGCCTAAGAATAGAAATTACGAATCAGGGGTACAAGTTGTTGTATAGAGAATTATATGCATATTCCAGTCACTGTGATAATCACTGACCCTCTAAACAGTGGGTCCTCTTCATGGAATGTGATGAGATGCCACTCTATCTGATTAGAGGGTCTAGGTGTCATTGGCGGTGTGATTCTCATCACCTTCTGCTGTGATGAT